TTGTCTATAGAACCTATCAATTCTTAGGAAAAAACTGAAACAATCCTTACCAGCATATACCTAGGGTTTCGCCGAGGTCCTGATAACCCCTTAAGAGCATCTTCTTTCTGAAACCTAGCCTTATGATTTTAGGCCGACGTTATGGGTATGTGGAGACATAGGGTAGATACCCCGACCAAACTTGAGTACTTTAGGCAGGAGTTCTCCATCCCTACCGATGTTCACTTGAGACTGGCTGGGGATGATGACTCCATCATGCTTACCGAAAACGCCATGCCCCTCCCTATTGTAGCCTTTACTGAACGCGGGCTCCGGCTTCCACTTAACATCCTTTTTCGCTAGATTCTGTATTATTACAAGTTGAACCCTATACAACTTGTCATAAACTCTTATCGAGTGATTTTTGGTATCATCGCCTTGGCTAGACAAGAAAACGTTAGAATCACCCTAGCCGATATACAGTATTGTTACACCATGTGCCCCCTTAACCTGAAGGAAAAAGGCTACGTCTATTACCTCAAGCCGAGGTCCACTGAATTCAAAATCGTAGCCGACCTTCCAGACTCCAACAAGGGGGCTGGAGATGATTATGTTATCGCTTCGGGAAATTGGGAGTTTGGTGCAGACGAGGACGCCCATCTCTACCCCCTTCCCCGATCAATTAAAGAGGGCAAGGGTAAGAGCCCAGTGTCAATACTTAGTTGTTTCTGTTCAAGTCTTCAACATTTTGTCTGTTTCTAATGTCTGTTTCTTCTTGCAGACGTTCGCAAGCCAGCGAAAGACTTTCGCCAATCTTACGTTCCTAGCAAGGACCTGAAAAAGCCCCTGGACTTGCCTGTCCACAAAAGAAAAGCACCTCTTCTTCTAAACTTTATTCCCACATACAAATCGATTCTGCCCGACGTCCCAAAAAGAAAGAAGAAAAGCCTTTTCTCCTCCTACTGCCACAACTCAAACTACCTCTACATCACAAACAGATCAAGAGTCAACATCTGACCCAACCAATCAACCATCAACTTCAACCCCATACTTAATCCCAATACCAGAAAGAAAACGTCGGCAACGACTTGTCAAAACTACTGAGATGGGTCGCCCGAAGCCTGTTGCTGTAGATCTCTTAGCTGACCTACCTGCCGACGTTGATGCTGTTCCGACTCAATCCATGCCCCCACCAAAGCCAAAAAGAATCAAAAAGGCCCAGCCCAAGGCCAAAGCTACTGAGGTTGAGGCTGAGGATGCTCTGCCCATCTCACAATTGGCTGAGAGTAAAAAAACCGCTTCTGCTTCTGAAAAAATGTCTGCTGAGGCCCAGCCATCAGAGTCCACCTAATCAAAGAAGCCGAGGTCATCGTCTGCGACGACCTCGGGTTCCAGAATACCAAAAGTCCCCTGGACACCTGAGATCACTCTAGAGGATAAGTCTGTCCTTGCCAGCGACAGCGTCGATGATATAAACGTCGGCGTGGCACTCAGTACTACTCTACTCCTTCCAGGAGATCTTGAGCGGAATGCCAAGATGAGCGAGTATGAGAACTACGCCTTTATGTTGCAACCCTCTGTCCAAGTAAGTGCTTTTATGCTGAAATTTGTTTTCTCTCTTACTTTGTAAAATTTTGTAACAATTTGTGCCTTGTGTTCTTTCAGGCCATCCAACATGTCCACTTTCAGCTTTTGAAAATCGGTAAAGATTGGCCGACATGAAGAGGGAGGTTTCTGCCCTGAAAAAGGAGAACAAAACTCTCGAATCAAAGATGAAAAAACTGGAGGACCAAGCTGAGGCCGCCGCCAAAGCCCAAAGTCTAGCCGAGGAAAAAGCCGAATTTGCCGAGGCCATTAAGAAGGTTGCTGAGGCCGAGAAGAAAGAGGCCGAGGCCAAAAAGGCCCAAGCCGAAAAAGAGCTTCGAGAGGCCTTAGTTACCAAAGATGCTGAGATTAAGGAGGCTGACGAGAAGGCTTATGCTCAAGGAATGGCCAACGTCATTGAGGAGTACAAACTGCAAGTTAGGCAGGCATGCAACAAGGGTTTCTCCCTTGGTTGGATGGCCCTTGCCAAAAAGCTCAACATCCCAGATGACTCGCCATTGCGCAAAGCTGATGATATCCCTCTGCCATTCCCCCCCCTCCTCCTCCAGGTCATCTTGAAGAAGAATCCGAATTTGAGTTTGAAGATGTGGAGAGGGGTGAGGAGGAGGGTTTAATAAGAAAATCTAAGGAGGCTGTTGGGGCTAAGTCTCCTTCTCTGAATGAGCAGGTCTTGGACTTGACTCAAGATAATGATGGCGATGAAGTTATCAAGGAGGCTACCCCGGAGCAGGGTTCATCCGACATTCATCAAATCGGCAAGAGCGTTGATGAAACCCTTGCCGAGATCGACGCCGAGATTGCTGCAGATAAGGAAGCCAAGGTATCTCTTCAGGAGACTTCTGAGGTTCAGATCCAGCCAGTTGCTGATGCTAAAAAGTCTTAACTTTCATGTCTTTTCTTTTGCACCCTTGTACTTTGTTTTGTTTTCTGGACAATGTAAGCTTCCTTTCATGGCCGATGTGCCTTTCTTTGTTACTTCGAAACAATTTACTTCTAGTAGGCCGTAGTGCCTTCTTTTGTACACAACTGCAACTGTTTTCTATGGATGCTTTAATCTTTTAATTTCTCTTGATTTGCTTCTGCATGGTTCTATACTTAGAATATTTTAATTTTGCCACTTTTGTGCAATCTTCTCGGGGTTACATATCTCGGGTATAATAACTACAAGCTTTACTTCGGCGAGATACTGACCTGCAAACTTTTCATAAATTTCAACAAGTGTAAGACATATACTATTCAATGTCAACTTTGCAAATGTTTCTCAATGTTTCAATCAATTTTTTAGATAGTGATCTTAGTCTAACCTACTTGTAAATTGCTACCAATTTCAACAAGTGTTATTATATACTGTAAACTTTTCTTAGGTTATAACAAGTGTTTAAGCAATGATTTACTTGTAAATTGCTACAAATTTCAACACGTGTTTAAACAATATACTTAGCTTTTGTCTCAACCTGCAAATTGCTGCAAATTTCAACAGATGATCACATGTTGGCTTAACATTATCTTGTAAATTGCTACAAATTTCAACACGTGTTAAGCATCTTCTTTGGTTGGACCGACCTGTAGATTGCTATAAGTGTGCAAACTATAACCTCGGCTTCACTTCGACTTGTAAATTGCTACAAATTTCAACAAGTGAAGAGAAACAGTAATCTCGGCTTAACTTCAACTTGTAAATTGCTACAAATTTCAACAAGTGAAGATAAGGAATAATCTTGGCTTAACTTCGACTTGTAAATTGCTACAAATTTCAACAAGTGAATTAAGTGTCTCTGTCTTCTCTCTGCCCCCAATGTGAACCTGAGTTCTATTTGGGTTCTCATTATTCATGTCTCCAAAAACACCAATGTGTAACTTTATCAAATACATGTTTTTAAAGAAAAGGGAAAAGATTTTATTGATGACATCGGCCAAAAATACTGCATATCTAATGATAGAAGAATTTCAAATTACAAGTGTTCAAAGGTCTTGGCAGTGCTTTGCCCTCGTTATTTTCAAGCCGATAAGCTCCATTGCCTAATACCGAAGTAATTTTGTAGGGTCCTTCCCAGTGTGGGCCAAGCTTGCCCTCTCTGGGATCTTTCTTATTGCCGATGGCTTTTCTCAGGACTAGGTCGCCGACTTGAAAATCTCTTGGATTGACCTTCTTGTTGTAAGCTCTAGCAAGCTGTTGCTGGTATACTGCGAGCTGAATTGCAGCTTTCTCTCTTCGTTCTTCCAAAAGATCCAGATCTCAGGCTAAGAGTATGTCATTGGTGTCATTCTCTACTCCCTGGGTTCTGATCCCTGGGATGCCGATCTCCAATGGGATGACTGCTTCTGTGTCATAAGCCATGGCAAAGGGGGATTCCCCTGTTGATCTTCTCGGCGTAGTCCGACATGCTCAAAGTACGTTGGGCAACTCGTCTACCCACTTTCCTTTTGCTGCCTGCAGTCTCTTCTTTATTCCATCCAAAATTACTTTGTTGGATGCTTCTGCTTGCCCATTACTTTGGGAAAAACTTGGTGTTGAAAAGTAATTCTTGATCTTGAATTTCGCACAAAAGTTCTTGATGAGTTTGCTGTCAAACTGTGTTCCGTTGTCGGTAACTATTGCTCTTGGAATCCCAAATCTGGTGATGATGTTTCTCCATATAAAGTTCTTAACGTCCGCATCTCAGATTTTGGCAAGAAGTTCTGCCTCTATCTACTTCGTAAAGTAATTTGTTGCTACCAGTAAGTATTTTCTCTGCCCAGTTGCCTGGGGAAGTTGCCCAACAAGATCCATGCCCCATTGGGCAAACGGCCAAGGGTTGGATACTAGGTTCAGGTCAGCAGCTGGCTGATGTATCAAAGGTGCAAACCTTTGGCATTGTTCACACTTCTTTACGTAGGCTTCAGCATCCTTTTGCATGTAGGGCCACCAATACCCCTGGGTAATGGCCCTGTGGGCTAATGATCTACCCCCAGCGTGGCTTCCACAAATCCTTCATGAATCTCGTATAGAAAATGTTCAACGTGTGCAAAACTTGCGAAATCTAATGGCGGCATAGCAGCTCAAGGGAACAACTTGATCAACCGGTGGAATGGGCGGCCGTATTCGCAGAGGTATTACGAGATATTGGAGAAGAGGAAAACCCTACCTGTTTGGCACCAGAAAGAAGAGTTCTTGCAAGTTTTGAAGTCTAATCAAACCCTAGTCTTGGTTGGTGAAACTGGTAGCGGTAAAACCACTCAGGTCAGTTTTTAATTTTGTTTGGTTCCCCAGAAAATATTCAGATTTTCCATTCATTCGAAGATTTTTTTGTTAAATATTAGGTTTGTTGTTTTTAATTTGGGGGTGTTTAAATGTGCCTAATTTGGTAATTATTTTGCAATTTGTGATGAGTGTGGCCTTGTGGTGTTGGGTAAGATTATCTTTGGGATGATGGGTAAGTACTGAGATGGTGAGAGCTAAGGCGTCTCTAGAAAATAAGAGGGTGGCAGTGTAGAGAGGGTTAATAGTTTGTGTTGCTTTGCATGCATGGAGAATGTGTGCTCTTATAGTGGGAGTCAAACTATGGAGCCAAGTCAGCCTTTTAACTCCTTCGTTCGACAATTCAGAGGTTTCACATTTACCAGTCTGCCCATGATCTTATTTGGGCGGTGTGGCTGTGGTCTACCGACGCTGCTATACCTCATGAAGTACATAGATAACCGTGGAAGTATACATTTGGCCCCAAGTCATCACCGAACCTTTTAGCTCTCACCTAGAGCATGCACCCATGTATTGCACTAGGGGATGGTAGCTTTGGTGGATGTAGGAATTGTAAAAGAGATGATATAAGAAAATTTTAGTTGTTTTATTTATAGTTAATGCATCGAACGCAAGTATACTAAAGATGCACATTTATAAGCATAAAAAATGAAAAACATCATTAAATCCACAAATGAAGTTTTCAATCAATATGAAGATTGACATTTACAAAATAAAGGAGAACAAAAAATTTATGCAAGTACTTTTCTTAAATTGTTCAAAAAAAAAAAGAAGGGTAATTGCAAGGGTCACATTGATTAGGGGTGGAATCGGTTTAGGGTTGGTCGAGGTTAAGGGGTTTTACACCCAGAACCGAATCAATTGGTTTTCACATTCCTTGCACTGAAATAACTGAGTCAGTTATATAGATTTCACCAAACCAAAGAAATGAACTATAAACAAGAGCTAGATATAAATCAACACATATGGCTATAAACCATTGTTGTCAAATCGTGAATCATTTTGTTAAAATAGTGAATCGTGAATCGTAAGATTTATTTTATTTAATATAATATATGATTTTATATATCTATATACATATAAAAATTCACTTAGTGTGTTTAAAATGATGTAAATATCAATATAATTAAATTTTATATATATAATAACATCATGTATATCAATATAATTAATTGATCTATTCTATATATCTTGTTAGTTTGGCAAAAATGACGTTATTTCATGCATTATGTAAAGCAAAAACAAAAATAGAATTGAATTGCAATGAATTGTAGTGACTCGAAAATTAAATTGCATGATTCACTCAATTTTTGATTCAATAGCACGATTCGAATCGCTTTTGTTGAAAATCGTATCAAATTGTATGAATTGAATCATGAATCGTACGATTCTAACAACCATGCTATAAACAAGCCCAAAACAAGAACTATAAATCACCACATGCTTGGGACGTGTTAAAATTTTATATTTTTACAAATTTATTATACATCATATATGAATAATTTATTCAAAGACGATGAAAAATATGTAATATAACATTAATTACGTTAAAAAATTATATATTTCATAATTTAAACATCAATATATCATTCATGTAACAATTATATTCTAAACAATGGGGGTTGGACATGACACGGTTCCTCCGTAGAAGTGTCCATATTTCTTAGTTGAGGATTCATATATTGAAAATGCCAGAAATAATAAGGAAATGACAAAATACAAAAATGATACCAAGGCCTCATTTCACAATAAGGCCTCCTCGCGAGCTCTTGTGACTTGCCGAGGTTGCCAAACATTGATATTGTGAGCTCATAATTGATAAAAAGGCACAGAAAAAAGTACAGTCTCTGATGAGAACAAACAGCAAATGCATTACCAATGTGCTGTTCTGTTGTCTGTGGTCATCCATTTTTTCAAGTAGTGGTTATTATAATAGATTAAGAGGTATTGCTCATAAAAATATTGTTTAGAAGTTTTACTCAACTACCAGCAATGTTTATAGTCTAAATCTGTATAGGTAAGACATAATGGAATAATTGAACTTTTATGAGACCCTTACCTTTCAAGGAGCTTGTTTGAGGTCTACTCTATAAAATCATTAATTATAGTGCAATATGACGTAATCATTTCAAGATGGACTGCTTTTTGGGCTTCTAATGTGGCAGTACAGTGCTTTAAAGTTTTACGTGGCTGGAACGTGTTAACTTCATCATTCATAGCTACACATTGTGTTACAAGTTTTAAGTGTGTTTTGAACTGAAATTTTTTAGCGGTCTCTGCCTAATAGATATTATATGCTATACATGCTTGTGCAACATAACTAGAATTTATCTCTGCCCTTCAGAATAGAACTCCTTAGTATTTGAACCTAGACTTCAACTGAGTTAGGCTTCCTTTTTATGCAGATTCCTCAGTTTATTCTTGATGCTGTTGATATAGAGGCCCCAGATAAACGCAGGAAATACATGGTTGGCTGCACCCAGCCTCGTAGGGTAGCTGCTATGTCTGTTTCTCGTCGGGTTGCTGAAGAGATGGATGTAACTATTGGAGAAGAAGTTGGTTATAGCATCCGTTTTGAAGACTGCAGTAGTGCAAGAACAGTTTTGAAGTAAAAGCTTATTTCTTCTATGAATGCTTTTGATTATCGTTTGTTGGGCTAGCGATGTGTTTGATGTTTTTGTTTTTTCTTGCTTACTTGAGAATTCACTTATACACTTCCTTTTTGCATTACAGGTATTTGACAGATGGTATGCTTTTAAGAGAAGCTATGACAGATCCGCTTTTGGAACGTTACAAAGTGATAGTTCTTGATGAGGCTCATGAAAGAACTTTGGCAACCGATGTTTTATTTGGGCTTTTGAAGGAAGTATTGAGAAATAGACCCGACCTGAAACTAGTTGTAATGAGTGCTACTCTTGAGGCCGAAAAGTTTCAGGGTTATTTCAATAGCGCACCTCTTATGAAAGTTCCAGGAAGACTGCATCCAGTGGAGATTTTGTACACACAGGAACCTGAGAGGGATTACCTTGAGGCAGCAATTCGTACAGTTGTTCAGATACACGCATATGAACCACCTGGTGACATACTTGTATTTCTTACTGGAGAGGAGGAGATAGAAGATGCATGTAGGAAAATAACAAAAGAAATTGGAAATATGGGAGATGCTTGCGGGCCTGTGAAAGCAGTGCCACTGTATTCTACGCTTCCTCCTGCTATGCAGCAGAAGATATTTGAACCTGCTCCTCCCCCCCTGACTGAGGGCGGCACTCCTGGGAGGAAGATTGTAGTCTCAACAAACATTGCAGAAACCTCTTTGACCATAGATGGTATAGTTTATGTGATAGACCCTGGGTTTGCAAAACAAAAGGTCTATAACCCTCGAATACGTGTTGAATCTTTGTTGGTCTCTCCGATATCAAAGGCTAGTGCTCACCAAAGATCAGGTCGTGCTGGAAGAACCCAACCAGGAAAATGTTTTAGACTCTACACTGAGAAAAGTTTCAATAACGATCTTCAGCCACAGACATACCCAGAAATACTGCGATCAAACCTTGCAAACACAGTTCTCACCTTGAAGAAACTAGGGATAGATGATTTGGTCCATTTTGATTTTATGGATCCCCCTGCCCCAGAGACATTGATGCGCGCATTAGAGGTTTTGAATTACTTGGGAGCGTTGGATGATGAAGGCAACTTGACCAAGCTGGGTGAGATCATGAGTGAGTTCCCCTTGGATCTGCAGATGTCAAAGATGCTTGTTGTCAGCCAGGAATTTAACTGTTCAAATGAGATTCTGTCTATTTTTGCCATGCTTTCAGGTTGTCGTCTGTTACCGGGCTTTCTTTGTGTCTGTGAGTCTAATTGTGGGTCTAAGGTGATGTAGACCACGATGGGCTGGGAATGCTGCTTCATTATTTGTGAATGCGTGCCCATTTTGTATCATGTGCATAGACATGTATCTAGGCATATGATGTTACGTGTTTAATTTCACACCTCGGCCTAGATAATGACATCTCGGCCAATATGTCAGGGCGAAGGTGGAGGTCAAACAAAGAGGTTCCAAGATAATTCTAGACTGAAGATGACCTCGGCTTGGAATGATCTAGGCTTAACATAACTTAGGCTTGGCATAACCTAGGCTTAACATAACTTAGGCTTGAGACACCATGGAAGGAACACATAAACACAAAACAAGGCATGGACCTTACTTAGGCAAAACAAGTTACAAACATGCAAATGCAAGCTTAACGAGTCGTAATCATACAAATGCTCATGAACATGTCTAAGACATGAATACGGGTTGTTACAGCAACTTAACATGGCAAAACATAAAAATGCATGCAAGCATGACTAGGACATTAATGTGGGTTGTTACATCCTTCCCCCCTTAAAGAAGTTTGGTCCCCAAACTTCACTTACCTTGTTCCCAAAACGACTCCGGATGTCAAGTTCTCATCTCTGCTTATCCTCTCTAGCCTTTACCTTGGGGCAATCCTTAATACGATGACCTCTCTCACCGCATCCGAAACATGCCCCAGTTGTCCGATGACAAACTCCAAAATGTCGCTTCTCGCAACTTGCACATGTCGGCCAAGTACCACCTTCTTGATTTGCGCTGTTGGGACTGTCCACCTTTGTCTTCTCCTCGGCATCATTCGGGTCTGCCTCTTCTTCGCGATCGTCATAGGTTTGTCTCTTCTTTTGATTCTTCCCCGAACTTTGACTTCTGTTCAGGTTGGCTTCTGCAAGGATGGCTTTATCTAACACTCCAGCATACGTCGGCATATTGAGCAAATTAACCTGGTCTTGTATTGGCCCTCGAAGTCCACTCTCAAACTTCCTAGCTTTCCTGTATTCGTTGTCGACCATGTGAGGTGCATACCTTGCCAACTCGGTGAAAGCACGATCATACTCTGCCACTGTTTTGCTACCCTGTGTCAACATTTGAAATTCTGTAGTCTTGCGATCTCGGACACTGAGTGGGAAATGCTTGTCATGGAACAGCTCCAAAAATCTGACCCAAGTCAAGTCTGGATTGCTTTCTCGGATCATCATCCACCATCTACGAGCGTCGTCTTCCAATGTGAATGCTGCTAATGACACCTTCTGAGCGTCGGTGCTGGGAAAAACCTCGAACAACTTCTCCATCTCAAGAACCCATGCTTCTGCTTTCATCGGCTCTATACCTCCATGGAACTTCGGCGGCTTCATCTTTTTGAATTCTCTGATCAGAGTCAATGTGTCATCTCCATACAAAGCTGGCTGCGGAGGCACTTGTGGTACTGGCAGTGGTGGAACTGCATGTCGGCCATCTGTCTGCTCGGTCTGGGTAGACGTGGAACCAATGTTTTGCTATCTTGCTTGCCTTAACTCATCGGCCAAACTTTCAACTATCCTTTCTAATCTGTCCAACCTGTCTTCGGACTGATCTCAGCCAATTGGGGGTCTACCTCTTCTCATGATGCTAGGAGTATGCAGGATGTGACTCTTAGAACAAAATGAAGAACAAAATGAACATGTATGCAAGTGAACATGATCATGTCGATGTAACAAATGCTCATGCCGAGATGATGCACACCTTGTCAAGTAGCAAGCAACATGATGCAATCCTAACATCATTCTAAGGGACATCCTATGCTCTTAAGGACTCAAAGTGTGTGAATAACGTACTATAAGGAACTTGTGCTCTGATACCATTTCTGTCACGACCCCAAACTGCCCCTAGTAGTTTGGTGCCGTGATGGCCAGTAATTCGAGATTACCGAAGGCCAACTTTCAAAATTCACACACAATCAGAGTATAAATATATGGGGCTCACAAGTGCGGAAGCAATAATCTAAAATACAAGTGGTCCATAAGAGCAGTGCATAAGTCAAATGGAATGGCATACATCTTTACATAGCTTTAAAACTTGAATATAAATAAAATGAAGTACAAGGATACATATTACATCTTAACAAAAGGGCTTCTCAAGCCGACATATACAAAATACATGAAATACAACTAAGAAGCTTAATCTTCAAGATTGCCGACATCTCTATTGCCGACATAACATACATGCAAAACACACATCTCGGCGAAGCCGACTTCTTGCTTGTTACCTACATATATACATAGGGAGGGTGAGCTTGGATACTCAGTGAATGGTACAAGTAATAAAGGTTTTAAATGAATGATACCCGAGACCTTTTCAAAATAATACATAATATATCTTTGTCAAAACCATACATAACATAACTTAACTTGACTTGAAACAAAACATCAATCGAACCTTGGTCTATCAAAACTTGCTTACTTACTTACTTAACATACGTCAACTTAAAACATAACCTCGGCATCGAGCACATCCGTTCATAGTCCGTCGGTGGCCGATATCTTAACAAGGGTGCTACTTAGGCTTAACGTCCCCTAGCACGGAAGGACGGTGCTACCTAGGCTTAAAGTCCCCTAGCGCGAAAGGGCCCTCAAAACAAAGGAATAATCGACCCAGAATCGATTAGACAAACCCACCCGCACAAGGCAGTCGGTGGCAAGGGAGATATCTCAAACAAGGGTGCTACAAAGGTTTAGAGTCCTCTAGCACAAATGACCTATGTTACAAAGGCCCGTAGCCCTCTAACACGACTGCGAAAGTTTAGAGTCCTCCAGCACAAGGGACTTTCAAAACAAGATGTGCTACGAAAGTTTAGAGTCCTCCAGCACAAGGGACTTTCCGAGAATGTCATCAAAACAAAGCTTACTTGATACATAAAAATAGGGGTAATCATTCATACTTGATCAAATGCTTTTATCAAAACGAAACAAGGCTTTATCAAATCTTTATAACATAACTTTATTAAAAATACCACTCACATTGTTCCTGGGACGTCGGGGTCGAGGCAAAGGTCCAAGTCCTACAAACACATGGCAAAGTCTACTGAACATACTTTTCAAAACAAGTCTTACATGCATGCAAATGATCTCGGGAAAACATGCTGGAAGTCAAAACACTGTTTTACATGTCAGGAAGACATGCTGGGTACCAACCAGGTCTTTGCCGAGGTCCCACTGCTCCTGGTCGAGGTGTGGCTACTCAGGCTTCGGCGTGCGGCTGCATGCCGAGGTGCGCACAAGACAGACTAAAGGTGTAATTGATCATGCAAGATAGGCCAAGGTGAGATACGATGCTTGGCCTAGGTGTGTGATCTAGGCAAGAGTGATCTCGGCGACTACACTTAGGGAAGTGAGGTCTGGAGATCTGGGTTTCCACCCGTGAAGAACAGGAAGAACATGAACATGAAGAACATGAATAACATGAATGCTGAAATCATAATTTCTTTATTACAAAATCTAGGATTTCATGCTATGAGTTCGAAAACATGGACCTGGGTACCCATACTTGAAAATCATGTGAAAACAAACGCAAAAACATGGATCTTGGCATGAGCTTTTGGATCAAAACATGGTTTTTCTTGAAGAACACATGAAGGCTATTTTCTCTTTCTAAAACCGAACTTCAAAGCAATGTATGGCTTACAAATCATATTCAATCATGCAATGCAATAACATGAACATAAAGAGCAACAAGAGCAGATCAAGAATCTAACCTTAGAACACGGATCTAACGGTTCGATCTCTAGGGATCAAGCTTGGAAATCTACTCTCCCTCAAGAACTTCTCTCCCTCTTCTAGAGCTTCTCTCTCTCTTCTTCAAAACAAAGATATAGAAATGATAGGTTTTCTCTCTCTATCGGCTGACTTAACACTCAGCTCGGACACGTGGCAGCGGCTGGTTGGCTTTCCTAAAAAAGGTGATAGATTGACAAGACAAGACTATGACAAAGTGTATCTAACAAGCTACCCGGTAAGGCACTCCGGCAAGTGATGACATCGACTAAAGACAAAGCTTTGGCAACTAAGGTGACAATGACCTCAGTTAGGAAGGACAACACTTGACTAAGCTGTGCCACACCTTGGCCTAGATGTGCCACACCTCGGTCTAGGTCATACCACTCCAGGACAAGATCGCTTAGGTGCAAAGGTAACATCTCGGCCTAGATAATACACATCTCGGCCTTAGTGACGAACACCTCGGCCTAGATAATGACATCTCGGCCAATATGTCAAGGCGAAGGTAGAGGTCAAACAAGGTGGTTCCAAGATAATTCTAGACTAAAGATGACCTCGGCTTGGAATGATCTAGGCTTAACATAACTTAGGTTTGGCATAACCTAGGCTTAACATAACTTAGGCTTGAGACACCAAGGAAGGAGCACAGCACGTACACAACACTTAGGCAATCACATAAACACAAAACAAGGCATGGACCTTACTTAGGGAAAACAAGTTACAAACATACAAATGCAAGCTTAACGAGTCGTAATCATACAAATGCTCATGAACATGACTAAGACATGAATACGGGTTGTTACAGCAACTTAACACGGCAAAACATACAAATGCATGCAAGCATGACTAGGACATTAATGTGGGTTGTTACAGCGAGCTCTCAGTATTTTTTTTTTTCAGACATGAGCTCTCCACTCGAGCGACCACTTGGACGCTCGAACGAACCCTTTGCATGTTGATGATACGTTCGAGCGTGGGAGTTGTAGCTCGAGCGTGGATTTCGACCAACCAGTACTTTTTCCAGGTTTACAAGTCGCTCGAGCGGAGGAAGTCACGCTCAAGCGACCCCTCTCATTTTGCATGTCCACTCGAGCGAGGAAGTCTACACTCGAGCGGAGACCTTATTTTCAGAAATTTTACTAAGTGTTCCAACACACATATTGGCATCCTCTTGGCATCTTAGGCATTCCTAAGCCTTAATTAAGCCATAGTAATGAGGTTATGGATTAGAAACACACTAAAGAATTAATGTACTAAGTTAAGGGAATGCAAGTAGGTGTGTTTTAAGCA